CCTGGTGATATCCTGTTAGGTTTGCACAATCTAGCATCAGGGTTCTGCCTCCCAATTGTAGGGTCTACAGGGGAAGTGGACTGCCAGGTGGGCAATGCTGCCCTTGAGTGTGGTTGAATAGGAAAGCTGCCCTCTAGGCCTAAAATGGGAAGGAGGCCCCAGGGCAAGTGCCTGCTGCTTATACTCATGAAAGGAAGCTCCCCATTCTGTTACTGGCTGGGAAGTCATGACTGTGAGTTTTTGCACTGAGCGGAAACAGAGCCAGGAAAGAATGAAGCAACGAAAGCACAGATTGATTAAAGCAAAACTACACTCTGCAGAGTGGGAGCGGGCTAGAGCAAGCGGTCAAAAGCCCTGATTGCAATGTTCTTCAGGGTTTTTACGAAGCTAAAATAATTTGGTAACACCCCTAGATACCCTTTAGAGGCCTCCAATTGGTTACACTCTATGCAAATGAAGGACGGCCCATGACCAATCAGAGGTATTTCCCGTTTGTGATGTAGGGGAAAGGGGGTTTTGTAGAGGGTGGGGTCTCTGATCGCTTATCACTTGGGCATGGAGAGGTGGGTGTTTTTTTTTTTTGTTCAATTCCGAGAAGCCAGCATCAGGTTGGCTTTAGACTTGCAGTCTCCAGATCCTACTCTCCTGTCTCAGTGATGGAGCGGGGGGTACCAATCGCGGGGAATTGATAGCTCCAAGGATGCAACTCTCCAGCCCATGCCGGGTGACGCCAAGCTTCATGAAGGGACGCAGGCACTGTCTGGGGGCCAGTGGCCTTGCCCTCTGCAATCAGAGAGAGGTTGCCCACCTGCTAGCTACCTAAGAGACAGTCTCCCTTCCCCTGCTGCTGGCTCTATGGGGCCATCGTGTCTGCGCTCCGTGAGCCATGCTCCCAGCCATCATGGGGGTGTGTTCTACATGAAAGGACAACATGTCTAATTGTACAGCGCTTAGAGAATTCGTCACACAGACCTATCCATTAAGTCTAAACCATTCAGGGTAAAAGTCTAAAAGCATTCAGGATAATAAATCATCATTTGGTATTAAATGAGGAGGCAGCCCCTTTCTTAGAATGGCTGTTCCCTCGTAATGGTGATAAATGGAAAATCCTGGACAGGTGAATTTTAATAGGTATCCAAGTGCACTCAGATTAATTAGATTATATTTTTTAAAAACTTTCCTCTTTTGCTCCATAAATCTAAATGGTGGCCTCTAAAAGATAATAACCATCCACACACTAAAATGCATTATGATGTCATAAAAGATTATTGATGCACATATGCAGTTACACGTTATGTTGGATGCAGCAGAATGGCGTAAAACGTGGCCGCAGCTGTTGTGAAGTGTGTGTTTGCCGACAGTGGTTAGTGGGACTCCCTGGTCAAAGTGTGTGAGGCGAGTGGACAGGAGAAGCTGAGTGCATTATTTCCACTTCCTAGTGGATATCAAGTTGACAATATTTCCCTCCTGGCTCTTTGAAAGGCAGGGGTTTTGATTAGAGACACACCAGCCACATCTGGTTCTGAAAGAGAGATATAGAATGCTGTTTTTAAATTAAATTAAATTAATTTATTTTTAGATGGAGTCTCGCTCTGTTGCCCAGGCTGGAGTGCAGTGGCACCATCTCAGCTCACTGCAACCCAGCTCCCTGGGTTCAAGTGATTCCCTTGCCTCAGCCTCCTGAGTAGCTGGGACTACACGCATGTGCCACCACATCTGGCTAATTTTTGTGCTTTTAGCAGAGATGGGGTTTTACCATGTTGGTCAGTCTGGTCTCAGACTCCTGACCTCAAGTAATTCATTTGCTTTGGCCTCCCAAAGTGCTGGGATTACAGTTGTGAGCCACCACGCCCTGCCCAGAATGTGTTTGACAGCCAAAAATGGAACCGTGGGGTGGGGAAGAGCAGTATCATCAGATAAGTCTTGGGATTGAGGAGACCTCAAGGTCACCTTCAAGTCCTGCCTTCTTTTCCTGCCTCTAACCCTGAGTTTCTTGAAATTTCCTTTTTATTCACTTCTATGTTGAATTATGGATACATAATAGCATGTTTATGGGGGTACAGGTGATGTGATATTTCAATACAAGCATACGATGTGTCGTGATCAGATTAGAACAACTGGGGTATCCATCGCCTCAAGCATCAATCACTTCTTTATGTTAGGGACACTCCAATTTTATTCTTTCAGTTATTTTGAAATATACAATAAATCGATTTCTATGGTGAGAAAAGAAACGTTCTGCCGGGGGGACACATACATCACCTTTATGGAAACTTTAACATTTGGAAAGAGCTAAAAGGCAGACAAAGATCCCGAGGAAGAAGAGGCATTGAGAGCTCAGTTTATCACACTCAGAGCCCATGACGGTCACCAGCGTAAGACCCCTGTGCTGGGTCAGCGGCATCTCAGCTAGTCTCAGACCCCCTTGAGACACGCACTGCTGCCTACTTGGATACGGCAGGAAAAGGAGGTTCAGCAAGAGAAAGGTCTTGGCCAGATTTAGCGAATTAAAATCAGAGCACTCACTTAACTTTGGATTTTAGATGAACAATGGATAAGTTTTTAGTATGAGTATGCACTACTATATGTGCAAAATTATTTGTTGTGTATCTGAAATTCAGATTTAGCCGGATGCTTGTGTTTTACCTGGTAACTCTGGCCCATGGGCAAAGCCACATAGCTGTTAATTGGCAGCATCAGGACTTAAATCCACGCTGGTCTGGTCGTTTCTGTGGTTTTGCCCTGAATTTCCTGCCTAACTGGTCATCGAACTACATATCGATGTTACTGTCTCTCATTAAATTGGGGCTGCGGTAGCGGCAACGCCAGCTTGACGTTCTTGTTGGCTGAGCACATCGTGGGAATGAAACAACAAGGTCTCTGCTCTCAGCGTGGCATAGGACCGTCAAACGTGACACTGCGCTGCCTTCTGGGGCTCTGACAGAGAAGTCACCTGCACGCTGCCACCGCCTGAGACACAGCACATCCTGTGGCTGGGGGCAGTAAGAAGGAGTGGCTGTGATGTGGCCCAGGGCATGCAGGGGACACCGTATTCCCCTGGTCCCTGTCAGTGTCAGGTCACTGGAGTCCATGATCAGTGAAATTGCCTTGTTTGGGGCCACTCTGTTTTTCTTTTTGAGATGAAGTCTTGTTCTGTCGCCCAGGCTGGAGTGCAGTGATGTCAGCTCACTGCAACCTTCAACCTACCAGGTTCAAGCGATTCTCCTGCCTCAGCCTCCTGAGTAGTAGCTGGGATTATAGGCACAAGCTACCACGCTCAGCTAATTTTTGTATTTTTAGTAGAGATGGTCTTGGTCTCCAACTCTTGACCTCAAGTGATCCTCCCTCCTCGGCCTCCCAAAATGTTGGGATTATAGGCGTGAGCCACTGTGCCTGGCCCAGCCACACTGTTCTTAGTCCCTTCCCACCCACCAGTATGCATGTTCTTTGTCCAGGATACGCCTATTCTTCCTCTGCTATCTTTGCTTTCTAACTTATCCAAACACCGCCGCATAAACTGTGTGTATCAGCTTTGAGACCAAGCAATATTTGTTTCTCCTTGCCCCCTGCTGTCTCCCCTCTTTCGGTTTTGATACCATCTGCAAAGGACAAAATTCATCCTAGAAGGATCTTTAGAGTTCCTCCTGCATTCTCTCTGATCTGCGGCTCCTTGCAGCTCAGGGAATTATATCCCACTGTTCACATTTTCAACCAGTGAGGCAGGAATTTTCCTCAGAAAGCCTGGCTCAGTCAGGGACTGTGCATATTTAAAGACTGTAATTAAGGGACTGTCAGTCAAAATTCCCATTACAAGTGATAGCTTTGAAGTTTCTGACTTGGACTTCTCAGCTCACAACATGTTTGGAAATGTGACATTTGGATGCACGCTTCGGGAAGATTCTGCAAAAGAGAGGGGGCTTCATTTTAAAGCAGTAAACAGGGTGATCACAAACTTAGCTGACACGCAAGCATTGAAGAGAGCAGGACCCACCATGGGTTAAAGCAGAAAGAGGAGGCTGGAGACGTATCTCAGTTAGTGTAGCTACCTCTGCACTTGGGAGAAACGAGGTGAGTCCAGGGAGGCGAGGCACACCCCACACGCTCCAAAAATAACTTTTTTCTGGTTTCTTTCATTCAACTACCATTTACTTATCTTCCATTTGATCTTAGTCAAGAGGCCAAGAAGAGACCATTTATCTTTAATTTGAGAAATTGCAAAAGCACAGAAAAACACAAACAGAACGTGACTCCATTTATTCAATAAAGACTTATTGAGAAAAAATACAGATTCCCACTTAATTCTGTTAAGCACTGCGTTGCATAATTTCTACAATTCTGCGGTAATGCAAAGTATAGACTGTAAATTTAGTTCTTGTCATCTAGTTATCTTAGAATGACATGCACTTACTTTTCCGTGTGATATTTACCTAGAAAAGAGTTTATAGAAACTACCAGTGAGGGAGGAGACCCTGAATTACCCTTAAGCATCTAAGACCATCCCCGCTCTTGACTTCCACACTGCATTTCAATAGGAGAAGTTAAGGCTGGCAGACCGGGGGGCCACCTTAATCACCCTCCTACAGATATTGCAGGCACAGTGTGAAGGAATCTTTCTGGAAGGAAGGCATTGTTTTTACTTAAACAAGACCAAACCCCACCTAGATCACTATACCCCATGCCTACTCCACGGGCCCAAGACCCTTTCACCTGTAATTTCTAGAGTTGTAAGCCCAAGACCCTTTCACCTCTAATTTCTAAAGCTGTAAACCCAAGGCCCTGTCATGTGTAATATCTAGAGTTGTAAGCCTTTATAAAGGTAAAGATTTCCTTTGTAGACGAGCTTGGCTGTTAGCCAGCTATGCCACCTTGCTCCCGGCCGAATAAATCACCCCTTTCCTTCCCAGCTTGGTGTTGGAGAGGTTTGTTTCCCGGCCTTTTCCTGCTTCACCAGTGGAGATTAATTTCTGATTTAAGCCATTGGCTTGGATTGTTTGTTTCAGTTGGAGCTGGATGTACCACTCTACTCCTGATTTGGACCCTGGCAGCCCATCTGTCTCCTGAAAAAACCTCTCACACCTTTTCTTCCTGCACTCCCGACTTGGTCAGGTGAGAACAGAAGTGAAGGGTCAGGGTGGGTTTCTTTCTCTTTTCCACCTCCCGGAGCACGCTGCATCTTTTTCCTTTATTCATGAAAAACACACAATTTGCTATGAATCGTCTCACAGCAATTGAAGTCTATTCAATTTGACGGACAGGCACTGTGCCGGAGATGGGGTGAAAAGAATGAATTCACGACAGACCCGACTGCGTGGCTGAATCGCACAGATGCTGTGCTGTGCAAATGAAGACAGACATGCAAGGCCGTGTGCTAACTCAGTCCGTGCCGATGGAGCCCCACAGCCAACAACACCCAGCTCTGGCGTCAGGAGGGATCAGTGGTTACCTCAGATGGGGCGTGAGGGCATTGACCTGGAAGGGGCACAGAGGAGCTTTCAGGGGTGATGGGGCTGTTCTATATTTTGATGGCAGCTGTGGCCACATGAGTGTAATCCGTGGGTGAACATTTCTTGAAACACATCAAAATATACACTTACATGGTTGCACCTTAGTGCATGCAAATTAAGCCTCGATAAATAATTGTGTGGACTAAATTTTTAACAGAGGGGGAAAAGCTTGTCCCCGAGGAACTGAAATCTCGTGAAGTCATGGAAAGGGCATTTTAGATGGAGGAACAGCCTGCATCTATTCCACCATCAGGCATTTATTACATACCTGCTCTGTCCCAGGTCCTGAGGACAGAGACAGCAATGGAGAAGGAACACCCATTCTCCTTCCAGAACAGCTTCCCACCCAGTGGAAGAGAATGACCCTCGATACGTGAATTGTACACCAGAGGCACAGCATGAGCAAGGGGACAGAGGACTGTACATGCCCAGGCTTCGAGAGGAGAGGGTGACATGGTGGGTTGGAGCACAGGGTTTACCGGGGCAGGGTGTGGAGGGTGGTGGGACCAGGTCTTGCAAAAGTGTGTGTGCAGGACGAAGGATCTGGGTGTCCACCCTGGAGCCAAGAGAGGAGGGCAACTTCAGCATGAAGGTGGGGAGGGAGGAGAGTGACACGCTCAGAGCCTTGGTTTAGAAAAACTGTCCCAACGTTTCTACCCTGGGCTGTCTGGCTGGTTGTAGCCACACCCTCTGTCAGCAGAGGGCAGGGGGTTAAACAGGAGATGGGGACACCAGCCAGGAGGCTGTTGCATGATGAAAAATTTGTCCCCCAGGGCTGGGTCCAGACTGTGACATGCTTTGTTTGATGGCCAATGAATAAACAGACAATGTCATTTGCCGTACAATAGAATATTATTTACTACCACCAACAAAAAGATACAAAGTTCTGATATAGGCCAAAGCAAAGATAACCCCCAAAACAGTACACTGAGCGAAAGAACCCGGTCACAAAAGACCATGTATGGTATGATTTCATTTATGCAAAATGTCCAGAATAGGCAAATCTATAGAGACAGAAAGTAGAGTAGTAATTGTCTAGGCTGGGGGAATGGGAGTAGAATGAGGGATGACCACTAAGGGGAGCACTATTTCTTACTGGACTGATGTAAATGTTCTCAAAATTAGATTCTGGTGACGTTTGCACAACTCTTACTGTACACGTTAATAAATGAACAAAACAGAATCTAAGCAAATTGGGTCATTTTGTAGCATTTAAAAATGACAATTCATAGAAAATTCAGACATTCAGCTTATCTTGGGGAGAAAAATGAGAGAGGATGAGAGAGAGGAAGAGAGGATGAGAGAGAGGAAGAGAGAATGAGAGTGAGAATGAGATCGAGAGAAAGAATGAGAGAGAAAGAGCAGTAATAAGAGAGAGAAAGAGAGAATGAGACAGAGAGAAAGAATGAGAGAGAAAGAGCGAGAATAGAGAGAGAGAGAATGAGAAAGAGAATGAGACAGACGGAGAGAGAAAGAGAATGAGAAAGAGAAAGAGAAAATGCAAGAATGAGAGAGAATGAGAAAGGGAGAATGAGAGAAAGAGAATAAGAGAGTGAGAAATAAAATGAGAGTGAGACAGAGACTGAGAGAACAAGAGAGAAAGAGAGAGTGAAAGAATGAGAGAGATGGAATGAGAGAATGAGAAAGGGAACAAGTGAGAATGGGACAGATATTGAGAGAGAGAACGAAAGACAGAATGAGAGAGACCGAGAGAGAGAATGAGAGGAAAGAATGAGAGAGAAAGTGAGTGAGAAGAAGAAAGAGAGACAGAAAGAGGTGGCGATGTGACAATTCTGGCAATCCTACATCCATGGCCACCCTCAGTGGAACTGGTGTCAGCATGACCCGTCTAGTTTACCGCAGTCCCCAACACAGCCTAGTCTTCACCACAGCACTGGTTCCTGTGGCTTTGAACTTGTAAGTCCCCAGCTAACGCAAGCATAGGAAAGCACATGTTCAGCTTCAACATTTTGGTCCTACTATGGGCCTAGAACACTGGGCATGCCTCTGTAAACAATTCTTGCACTTACAGGCAAGGTGAAATAAAACTGGAACCAGTGGAAGTTTATTTTCACAGAGCACCCACTTGAGTGATTTGAGCAGCTTTTCTACATTCTAAGAACCAAAGCCATTTTTTAAAAAATTTACTGGTCTCACTGCCTCAACCTCCCAAGTAACTGGGATTATAGGTAACCGCCACCACGCCCGGCTAGTTTTTGTAAATTTAGTGGAGATGGGGTTTCACCAATTTAGCCAGGCTGGTCTCAAACTCCTGATGTCAGGTGATCCATCCCTAAGTGCTGGGATTACAGGTGTGAGCCACTGTGCTGGGCCCCTGCAATGCCTTTAACCCTGACATGGTACATCAGAGCAGGGGCATGGAAGGCTTAGGGCACTTGCTCCACTTTCTGCCAGGAAAAAGAAGAGGTAGGAAATGATTCTCCCACTGCAGAATTTGTCCCGTGGCCCCCTGAAGGCCCAAGAATTCCATTACAGATCTTCTCTGGTTGGGAGAAAAAGAAGAGGTTGTGGTAACTAAGGGAAGCCGAAGACACAAGTGAGGGAAGCTTGCTCATTAAAGCAGCACATGGTCTTTGAATATTTACTGTGTGCTAGTGCACCACGTGATTTAAAAATCTAACTTGGTACCCTAACAAGAGATGTCCTACAGGCATCCTCCTCCCACTCAGGCACACATAACATTCTCATCTCTTTCCTCTATCCCTACTTTATTTTCCTTCCTTCTTCCTCCTTTCTTTCTCTCTTCTTCCCCCACTTCTTTTCCTCCCTCCTTCTTCCCTTCCTTCCCTTCTCCATTTACCTATTCATTCCATATTTATTTAGTGCCCAACTGCGAGAGTTGCTAGAGACACAACAGGGAAAAAAACATAAAAATCCCTGCCTTTGTTAAGCTTAAATTTTGGTGGGAAAACCACAGTAAGATGAAGAAGCACATTACATAACACATTAGGTGCTGCACATTGTTTAACGTATTAGATGATGCACATTATGTAATAGATTAAGTGGAACTGCTAGGTGAAATGTGGTGTGCACGTGTGGATTTATTTTTATTTTACTAATTATGCATTTATTTTTCAGTCGATGTTTAGAGATATGTATCCGTTATGGATTGACTAAATCAAGCTAATGAACATCTTCGTTACTTCCCATACTTATTTTCTGTGGTGAGAAAATTTAAAATTCTTAGCAGTTATGGAGTATACAGTACACTGTACGAGGTACAATTACCTTGCTGTACAATAGATCTCCTGAATGTATTCCTCCTGTCTGCTTGGAATTTTGAATCCTCTGACCAATGTCTTTCCATCCCCCTACCCCTTCCCCCAGGCCCTGGTAACCACCATTCCATTCTCTGCTTCTTCGAGTTTAACTTTTTTAGATTCCACATGTAAGGGAGATCATGCAGTATTTGTCTTTCTGTGCCTGGCTTATTTCCCTTAGCATACATCCTCCGGGTCCTGCCACGTTGCTGCGAATGACAGAATTTTATTCTTTCTCCTGGCTGAATAGCATTTCATTGTGTATGTGCACCACATTTTCTTCACCCATTCATCCATTGATGTACACTTGAGTTGATTCCATATCTTGGCATTGTGAACAGTGTTGCAATGGCAGTGAGAGTGTAGATGTCTCTTCAATCAACTGATTTCAAATCTTTTGGGTAAATATCCATAAGTGGGATTGTTGGATCAAATGGTAGTTTTATTTGTAATTTTTAAAGGAACATCATACAGTTTTCCATAAAGGCTGTGCGAATTTACATTCCCATCAACAGCTTGTTTTTTTGATAATAGCCATTCTGACAAGTGTGAGATGATAGCTCATTGTAGTTTTTTGTTTGTTTGTTTGTTTGTTTGTTTGTTTTGTTTTGTTTTGAGACGGAGTTTCACTCTTGTTACCCAGGCTGGAGTGCAATGGCGCGATCTCGGCTCACGGCAACCTCTGCCTCCTGGGTTCAGGCAATTCTCCTGCCTCAGCTTCCTGAGTAGCTGGGATTACAGGCATGTGCCACCATGCCCAGCTAATTTTTTTTGTATTTTTAGTAGAGATGGGGTTTCACCTTGTTGACCAGGATGGTCTCGATCTCTTGATCTCGTGATCCACCTACCTCAGCATCCCAAAGTGCTGGAATTACAGGGATGAGCCACTGTGCATGGCCCCTTGCTCATTTTTAAATTAAATTATTTGTTTTCTCGTTACTGGTTGCCTGAGTTTCTTATACGCTTTGAATGTTAGCCCCTTATTGGGTGTATGGATTACTGTTGGGGTCTGGCACATCTGCCGGGGGGCTACCAACCTGCGGGAGTCCCCGAGACCACCAGCGTAGATGTCTCATTCAACCTGAGGGAGAGCGTGTGCGGAAGTGAAAGAAAAAAGAAAAGTGGAGTCTGGAGGGCTGGCTTAGGCTATGTCTAAGCAGCAATTTTATTTTTGCAATATGTTCCATTATATACTTTTCTGAAGTTAATGTTGTTTATGCCAGATCAACATACTTAAGTTACAGTAAGCAAGTTATGCCCACTAAGTTACGCCCAGTAAGTAAGTTAAGCCCAGTGCGTCAGTTATGCCCAGTAAGTTACAGTAAGTAAGTTACAGTTACGCCCAGTAAGTTATGGTAAGTAAGTTACCAAGTGTAAATACTTAAGTTAATATTTTACAATGAAGGTAACAAGGGTCCAAAATGAACACAATCAAGCAATAAAACAAGGAGCCGAAAGTGGACACAATGCCTCCCAAGTCCTCATATCCATAAAGTAATATCTGTTAATTATTTTGAATAGCATAGTCCCTTTCTCGGTTCCTGCTTTCCCTCAGCTCGACTCCCCCAACCGGGGATCCGTGTCCAGGCTCAAGCTCACCGTATGGCGAGGCCCATTTCCTAGGGGCCTCACACAGGAGTGATCCCCACAGATCCCTCAGATTACAAATATTTTCTCCCAATCTGTAGACTGTCTCTTCACATTGCTAATTATTTCCTTCACTATGCAGAAGTTTTTAAGTTTGGTGTAATTTATTTGTCTATTTTCTGCTTTTGAGTCAATTCTAAAAAATTATTGCCAAACCTAATGTCATGCAGTTTTCCCCATATGTTTTCTTTTTATAGTTTTACATTTTAAGTGTTACATTTAAGTATTCAGTCCATTTTGAGTTGATGTGTGTATATGGTATCAGAAAAGAGTCCAATTTAATTCTTTTGCATGTGGACTTACATTTTTCTTAGCACCATTTTCTGAAGAGACTATCCTTTTACTGTTGTATATTCTTGGCATTTTATCAAAAATTAATTAACTATACATGTAAGGATTTATTTCTGGGCTATTTCGGTCCATTGGTCAAAATGTTTATTTTTATGCCAGTACCCTGATGTTTTAGTTACTATAGCTTTGTAATATAATTTAAAATCATGTAGGGTAATGCCTCTAGTTTTGTTCTATTTGCTGATGATTTCTTTGGCTATTTGGGTTTTTCTGTTGTTTCATAAAAATTTTAGGGTTGTTTTTTCTATTCTGTGAAAAATGGCATTAGAATTTTGATAGGATTGCATTGCTTTGTAGACCACATTGGGTATAATAGACATTTTCATGGCATTAATTTTTTTAATCCACAAGCACTGGATAGCTTTCTATTTATTTGTATCTTTAATTTGTTTTATAAATGTTTTGTTTTCAGTGTAAATATTTTGGATGTCTTTAGTTAAAATTATGTATAAATACTGTGTGTGTGTGGGTGTAGTTATTGTAAATGGGATTTCTCTTTTTTGGATAGTTTACTGTTAGTGTATAGAAATGCTACTGATTTCTTTTTATTTATTTCTTTTCTTTTTTCTTTTTTGAGACCGAGTCTCACTCTGTCACCCAGGCTGAAGTGCAACCTCAGCTCACTGCAACCTCTGCCTCTGATGTTGCCTGGGGCTTCTATCTGGGTTCCCCTATCTGGAGAGATCATTGACTGGGCTTTGCTGTTAGTGGGAACTGTTGGCTGAGTTCTGTGATAGCCTCTGGTCAGGCTAGCTGAAAGATATATTCCCTGGTTGGGTGATTCTGCTCTTTGGAATTTGCAGTTGGACAAGTCTGCAAGCTGGGCTCTGAGGTTAGGTGAGGGTGCTGCTCAAGATGGGTGGGATCAGATACTATGCTCTTTAGAAATGTACAATTGAAGATTGCCTACC